GCTGCCATTGGAGCTGAGTCCCCATCTTCATCATGGAAGCACAAAACCTGCAGCTCTCTATTCTTGCACCGATGACCCGGGGAGAATTTTTYGTCGCAACGAAAGCAGAGTCTCTTCTCCCTCTTAGACTGCCATTCACTTTCTGTTAATCGCTTGAAGTTTCCCGTCATTCCGGTCTTTGTGTTTGCGTCACGGCCTGCTGAAATCGCATTCGAAGTGGCAGCGCGATTAGGGTTTAGCGTGATGGTTCGCGCTATACTTGCAGACCCGATGGGTTCGGTTGCTTTCACGGGTTGGGTCGACGGAGAACCGGGCCCCCGTTTCTGTCGGTCCAATTCGTTGTCCTCCACCAACTGGGCCATCATCATTTTTTCTTTAAGGCCCACGGGCTTCAGCACCCTGAGCTCACTTTGGATTTCTGATTTCAGTTCACTAATGAACTTACCCTCGAGGATCGAAGATGGGACTCCTTTTAACGACGCCGACAACTGAATTTCCGGCGATAAGCTTTCACGGTGGTGTCCTGGTTGAGCCGCATAAATTGGACACGTTGGTCTCCTTCTTTCGTCGGACGAAATCGCTCGATCAATTGCTCGCGGAACTCCCCCCAGCTTGTAATCGGCTGTGTTTGGCTCTCCGTCCACTGGTGCCAGGACAAGGCTTCATCCTCCAAACACAGTATCGCTGCTTCGAGCTTGTCACCCTCGGATAACCTATTGACCACAAAATACCTTTCCACGCGGTGCAACCACCCGTCGGGGTCTTCGCCACCCTCACCCTTGAAAATAGGGACTTCCAACTTCCTTAGACGCATATCGAACAACGGTACTTCGCGCGACCCTCCCACCATACTAGTCCCTGTGTTTTCCTTCTTATCCTTCTCGTCAACCCCCATCAGTTTCTTCCCTTTATCAGTGATGGCACGCTCTAAGGATACCGAATCAGTCCCTTCCCTCGTGTGCCCATCGATTTTCTTGACTAATATCTCAAATCCTTGCATTAACCCTTGCTCCAACATTCTGTGCATCTCCTCCTGGAACTGAGACAACCGCTGATCGATCCTCTCCTCCGTCCCTGCTTGCAACGAGGTAATTCGTTCTTCCAAGTCGTTTACTCTTGCTTCCATTTTTCCTGCCATACCCAGGACGAATGCTCTGATACCAAAAATTGATAGAAACCAATTTTATTTATACCACATATCCAAGCCAAGGGAAAATTCGAGAGATCCCTACTCTCCTATAACCTCACAGAGTCACAATACTCAAGATAACAAAAACATGAGAAAATAGAAATGTCCCTCCCCTCCTTTTATCTACTATAACCGACCCCCTAACTAACAATATTCCCTTGGGCCCACAACGTTCCCAAGAGTAGACGGCCATGCACACTTCTCCTAATTCGCACGTGCTTCCCTTAATTTCTTCTTCTGAGTATACATCTTGGTGATCGGGGGTCTATCAAAATATTCCCTCAGCTGGAGCCTTCCAACAAATTGAATCTGGTAGCGAATCCCTATGAATGTGTGGAAGAAATTTGCTGTTATCGGTTAAGACTTCATTTTCATGTTGTAAACATGTAGAAGGGGAATTTGCAGCTCTGTCTTTCCCAACCATCCAGATCCCTCACCATCTCTCTTCCATTCAGAAACACCTTTACGTTCCTTTTTGACCAAATTCCCCAAAGGAAAACAACCAATTCCTCGAAATCAGACCAACTCAGGATACCCTCGCAATCTCTAAGCAGATGCAACAGAGAAAGGGGCCTAACATCCTGAGGAAGATGGCTAAATTTCGACACTTGCCTCTGGTTCTTACTGACTTTGCAGGTCCAGAACAAGTGCAAAGCATCTTCCCCTTTTTTTCCACAAAAAGCATAACAATCAGGAACATCCACTCCTCGAAGAATAAGATTAGCACCCGTTGGTAATCTATCCAAACAAGGACGCCAAAAGAAAACCTTAATCTTACTAGGAAGATTGAGCTGCCAAACATCTTTCCACCATTTAGCTAAACATTCGCTCAAAGAAGTGGAGGCACTAGTATCCGGAGATTGCATATGGGCCAATTTGTAATCACTTTTAACTGTACAGATCCCATTCTTCTCAAAATTCCAAATAAGCCTATCAGCAGCAAGGCCTATACCAAGAGGTATAGAAAGAATGGTCTTAACTTCATCATAAGTGAACATATCACGAATCAAGTTTGTCTTTCACCGCCTCAAATCACTATCCACCAGGAAACTAACCTTTGTATCAAGAGGGACTCGAGGAAGGGAAGGGATTTTAAGGATGGATAATTTGGAAGCCAGTTATCCCTATAAATCCTCACCGTCTCCCCATTCCCAATGCGCCAACGACCCCCCTCTGTGAGCAACGATCTTCCCCACAACAAGCTTCTCTAGATAAAGGACGGGTTCCCACCCACCTTGGCCGAAAGGAAAGTACCGTCTTTGAAGTATCGTCCCTTAAGGACCTGCGCCAACATAGAGTTAGGTTCATTCAATATTCTCCATCCTTGCTTAGCGAGCAAAGCCTTATTGAAAAGTTCAABGTCACGGAATCCCATTCCCCCTTGACATTTTGGCTTACATAAGGTCTTCCATCCAATCCTATGGATTTTATTCTCCCTATCATTGTCACCCCCACCAAAACCGAGCTGTTAAGGAATTGATTTCATGAATAAGATTTTTGGGGAGCCTGAAACATGACATAGAGTAACAAGGGGTTGCCTGCACAACAGATTTAATAAGAACTTCCTTCCCTCCATTGGAGAATAACTTGCTCTTCCAGCCTTGTAGATGCTTCCCGAAACGATCTTTGATATAGTTAAAGTGACTGTTCTTGCTTCGAGATATAAAGCTTGGGAGGCCCAAATATTGTTGATGGCAATCTACCATATTGACTGAGAAAATGTTCCTGATTATATCCTTCACCAAAACAGAAGCATTAGGACTAAACGCAACTACAGACTTATCAAAATTTATCATTTGACCCGAAGCAATTTCGTACTTTTTAAGACAGACACTAATCGTTGTTCCTTCACAAGATTTAGCCTTAAAGAACAAAAGGTTGGAGGACTGTGCCTAGCAATACCAAGCCCAGAAACCCTCTTTTCCTTGGCTGCATGATGAAGGAGGCTAGATAAGCCCTCAGCACACATGAGGAACCGATAAGGAGAAAGCGGATCTCCCTGACGGAGCCTCCTTTGCGGCACAATATGCCCACACTTTGTCCCGTTTAACTTAAAAGAAAAAGTCACCGAACGGACACACCTCATAATTAACTCCACCCAGCTTTTTTCGAAGCCTAATTGAAGCATAACCTCTTCCAAAAAGCCTCATTCCACTCTGTCATAGGCCTTACTCATATCTAATTTCAAAGCAGCCCAAGCTGATTTACCCACCAACCTATTTCTCAAAGAGTGAATACACTCAAATCCCAAAATTGCATTATCAACAATGTGCCTTTTTTTGGGATAAACGCACTTTGGTTAGGCAAAATAGTCGTAGGAAGAACTCTTTTAAGCCTATTCACAAGAACCTTTAAGATAATTTTATAGCTAACATTGCACAGAGCTATAGGTCTAAAATCAGAAACATGTTTAGGACTACTCCCTTTCGGAATCAACACTATCATAGTCTCATTCAAAGGTTTTAAATCACCATTATTATTAAGAACATTCAGAAAACACGCAATGACATCCTTACCCACAATATGCCAGAAATTCTTATAGAAAGCCCCAGGAAATCCATCTGGCCCCGGGGATATATTCGGATGAATCTGTTTTAGGGCCAGAAGGACCTCCTCTTCACTAAAACTTCTCATTAAGTCTCTATTATTGGCATCTGTGACCCGAGGCTCAACACTTTTTGAAACTTGCTGAATATCAAGAAGGCTTGGATTTGAAGAGGAAAAAAGAGTTGAGAAATAGTCAGAGATTATACCTGCCACCACAGGCTGGTCATCCCAACGACCCTGAGTGTCAAACAAACCCTTTATTTCATTTCTCTTCTTCCTGTAAGATGCTTTACTGTGAAACCACCTTGTGTTCCGATCACCCCATTTGAGCCAATGATCACGAGATCGTTGCCTCCAATAAATTTCCTCTTCATTCAAAAGCTTCTCCAAATTAACTTCTGCAGTCTGAATTCTGGATCGGTCCGACGCAAAGGGGAGATTATGAATTGCAAATTGTAACTGTTTTTCTGCTTCTTGTAATCTTCACTTGTAATTACCCGCCTTATTCCGACCCCATTTCAGAAGATGGTTAGCACATATATTAAGCTTAGCCTTTAAAGACTGAGAGCTGCCGTCATGGACCTTACTGCTCCACCCATTAGCTACCTTCAATTCACATTGGTGATCTTCTAGCCATGCTTCTTCAAAACGATAAAGCCTTTTTGTCATCAAACTACCCTTCATGACATCTTGTACTAAGCTTAGTTTCAGAGGTCTATGGTCGGATGTTCGATAGTCTAGATGTTTCATGTCAAAATTCGGATATAACGAAGCCCAACCCGGGTTGCACAAAATCCGGTCTTGCTGCTCAAAAACTGTTCCACCATTTGGTCTTCTATTACACCAAGGCAAAGCTTCACCCGAGAATCCCATATCAATCAGATCACATCATCCACCGCCAAACTAAAATCATTAATCAACTTGTCATCTTTCGGTCTCGCCCCAATTTTCTCAGAATGGGCTAAAATTCCATTAAAGTCGCCACCAATGAGCCATGGCGTCGAGCCGCTTCCTTTCAACCAACACATTAGGTCCCACGAAAGATGCCGATTCTCCTCCTCCGGATACCCATAAAACCCCGTTAAACGCCAAAGCTTCCCCTAAAAAACATCTCCCCCAGCAATATGATTTTGCGAGAACGAAATCAAGCTGAAAGTCAATGTATCCTGCCACATGAAAGCTAAACCACTACTTTTCCCTTTACAATCCACCGAAATACAATTTGAAAAACTGAGCCGTTGATTAACACTGTTAACTTTGTCTCTTCTAGCTTTTGTTTCAAAAAGAAACAAAAAATGAGGTTTCGAGATCTGCACTAAATCATGCAGACTTTGGAATGTCGTGGGAGACCCCAACCCACGAACATTCCAGAATAGGCCTCCGCCAAAACTGAAACCTCCATCGCCGACCCATTACTAAAGCCATTTTGCTTCCGTTATCCATTTTCAAGAGTTTCTGATTGGTATAAACAACAGTGCCCTGACTTTCTTCCGCTGGGCTCCCTTTCCGTTTCCCACAAGATGGGCCTAGCGACTCCATGGCCCGGTCCAAATCTGGTAGATTTCTAGCAGCCCGTTTCCAAATTCTTTGGGTTCCATTTGACTTATTCCTCATAATGTCCTCCAACCCAATCCAGTGCCTTGATTTAACATATCAAATTCCTCATCCTGCCCTGATTTATTGCTTTGGACATTTAAATCAAGATCCATGGCCACACTATCTGTAATAATAGCGGTCGCACTATCTTCCGTTTCCTTAAATCCCTCCTAAATAGTGGTCTCCTTTGGAAATGATTGCCTCATTAATGAGATTTCCGTATCTTCCGCCCTCTCGACAGGAGTTACCTTTTCCGACCTCTCTCCTCGACCAGACTCCCCCGAACCGCCCCTTGCCGGAACGTCCACCGTCGCATCGTCCGGCACCTCCCTCCGGGCAACATCTTCCGGAGGTTTATTCTCCTCGCTCTCCTCCTCAAACCGTCGCCAGTCCCCCCATCCTCCACGACCCCTGTTACTTCACCCTCCACGGCCGCCCCTGAACCCAGTTTCTGCCCCACGCAAGCCCACATTCTTCTTTAGCAAGGATGCACGTAACCACTCCCCATACTGGTTCTGACAAAGAGTGTTACGATTGTTGCATTCCCTTCCTGAATGACCAATTATTCCACATTCATAGCAGAAATCTGGTAGTTTCTCGAACCGAATTGGACACCACATATCCTTTCCATCGCTGCCACATAATTTCAAACCTCTCCGCAACGACTTCGAGATATCAATCTTCACTCGCAGCCGAAAGTAAGGTCCTGCCCAACCCTCCTGGCCTTCACTGTCCACTGTTTCAACCTCACCTACCTTACTCCCAAGCATAAGAGCCATCTCCTGAGACATACATTCAAAAGGTATGTTATGGATCTGAATCCAGAAAGCACAAACATTGAAATTCATTGCAAGAGGCTGATCTGTGGCTGAAGGAGAAACTAGGACAAAGAGGGATTTGTTGAAAGTCCAGGGTCCGGAGTTTAGGACTCAAGTTTTCTCTCCCAGAGATCGAAACAGACAGACATACGTATTCATCCCTATAGGTTCTATCCTTGTGGTATCATGAACATTCCAAACTTGCTTCATTACTGATTGTAATGCCTCAGTGCTGGTCCGCTTGCTTGGTAGGAGTTTCCCCACAACACAAAGCTGAACATTGTCCTCATTCATTATTGGTTTATCCTTGTCCATCACTATCACCTCATTCTCTTCAGAAGTTAGATTGAGGTTTTCGCAACAGGAAACGAGGTCATCCATGGGTAACCCAACCTGCAGAAACCTAGCAGAGGCTCCCCAAAACCAGAAGAAAACCRCACTCTCAAAAAGAGAGAAAACCCATCCTAGACACAGCAAATTCCATAACAGGGAGGTAATTAAATGCATGATTATCTTTTTAAAGCAATAAGTATCAAGTTTATGGTCAACTACATAAGATACATCAAGAATTTATGTCAAAAATATGTTGTCCTTGTTTATAAATACCAACGTAACTACTGTAGCTACATAAAATATTGTGTTTCTCTTTTACTGAAGTAGGTTCTGCTTAATTACTTATAAGAACTGTATAAGTACATCATGATCTTATTTAATGATGAAAACAAGTTTCGACAGCTGAATAGACTGAACAATAGGTGTGGTACTTTCTTGTTTCCAACTATAACTTTTGACCTCCAAACCAAGTTAGAAGTTAAAACCCCTCTTTTCTCAATGAGGAAGTTGAAGCTAACCATTGTAAATTATAATTTTGCCCATATTTTATAATTTCACTTATTTATTCAGTTAAAGGCAATTTTGAAATTCACTGGTATACTATAATTAAAAAGACAAAGATTCAAGAAAGAACAGCAAAGGAAAGAAGGAAAGCTTCATACTAATATTTCATTTCCAATTAGACTGTAATAATTACAATCACAAAACAGAGAGAGTGAGAATAGTCTCATGTCCTAAATTTGTTAGCAAAAAATTACTAACTACAAAAAATCAATTAGTAAGCAGTGGAAATCAAAAGGAAAACTAAAAGTTACTAGTCATCATCCGATACTCAAAATCACTATAATCAACCGGATAATCTTGTACTTGATTGGAAGCATTGTTCATCATTTGAGAATAATCTGAGCCACATGGCAAATATGATAGTGGCAAAACTGATTGGAGACGCATGTCGTTGTTCGAGAGGAGATCTTCACAAGTGTACTYAACTCTATTTGGGTCGAACAGTAAGTTGAAATCATGATCAGGAATCATCAAAAGAGCTTCCTCGGTTTGTAACCCATCATGGAAAGGGAACCATTGAGAATCAATTGTTGAATTTTCAGAATTCGGAGTTTGATTTTCGGTTGATCTGCCAGCAAAATCAATTGCGGATGCTCCCTCAAAGGTTGAATTTTCAGAATTCGGAGTTTGATTCTCGGTTAATCCGCCAATTAAATCAGTTGCCAATGCTCCATCGCCTATTAAGTGATCGTAGTCGGCTTCCTCGGCTTGAAACTCATAACGAGGCAACCGTTGAGGGTCAACAATGACAGAATCTTCAGAAGTCGGGGTTTTCTCCTCAAAAAGCTCGGTTGACACACCAGCGGAATCAATTGCCGAGACTCCTTCCATAAAACCAATCATTCCCTCTGCAGCTTCAATCTTCGAACCCAAATTATCCATAAACAACCGCAGCTGCTGTTCGGATAAACAATTAAGCCGCTCGTCCCACCCCGCATACTTGATTTCTTCACTAAATTTAGCCCTCTCTTTTTCGATTTTCTTCATACGACCCGAGAAAAAATCATACAAACCAAAAGACTTCATCGATGGTTTCCGCAAATAATTAGTCTTATAGGCCCGGATAATACCTTCGATTTCTTCGCGATTGGGAGGCCAAGTGTGGGATTCCACTACCGAGCGATCACCATCTTGTGGAGGAGCAGGGCCATGGATCAAAACGCAGGTCCGGACATCGCAGAGCGTGGATAGCTCGAAGGCTTTCTTCATCAAACTCTTGGTTCTCTTGCGGAATGTTGCAGTGCGAGATTTGTGAGACGAAATCAGCTTCAGGCTCAATTTTCCTCTGCCCATTCTTGAAAATTCGGCAGAATCGTTGATCGGAATCGGAGAAAATTTCAAGAATCAGGAACAGAGAGCGGGAGAGCAGTAGGTTTCTTGGCGCGCAAGTATTGTGAGAGATGAATCTCGTTTCGTTTCGTTCCGTTCCGTTGTGCTCTTGAAATAAAATCGCGAACCGCAGCTCTCAAAATATTTATGGGATTTTCGGATTCTTTCCTTTCTCATTTCTTTCCTTTTTTTTTTAATGTCTAATGGTATTTTCAACAATTTACAAAATATATTTTCTCCTCTTTAACAAGCTGGGGAGTGATGATGAAAAAAAAATACATTTTTCTAATTCAATTTTTGGACGAAAACCCTTTCTCCATTGTTATCCATCGATCATATACAAATGGACTACATCATGTACGAAAATGTTTTTAACTCACAACCACTTAATCGGAGATATATGTCAATTACCGCTGAGCTATATTGTTCGCTTTGACCATCATGCATGAAATTTTATATCATTCACTCAATATGGACTACATCATTTATCACCGTTGTATATTTCCCCTGTTGAAAAGATAGGATATAGAAAGAATTTTGGTATTTATTGTGCCTTGCCGAGAGAATCACTCAAAAATAAAAATTCCTCCTAATTCTTTTTATAAAATAAATTCTTTTTTGTCCGTGTAAAAAAGTAAATCAATTAGTGTTAAACTTGACTCGTTTGACTAAACATATAGGTAAAAATAACATTTATTAAGAAAAACAAGGGAAAGAAAAAGTGGTGGAAAATCGGTCATTTTGTAAAAAACTCAACAGTCAAAACTTGAAGCATTAGCTTCCACTTTACTGACGGCAGTTAAATAGCGTCTCCCATCTTTGGTGAGACACTTTGTTGTTACCCACCGTCAACAAAGGGAAGCTAAATTTCTATTCACGTTTCTACTGAGCATCAAAAAACGAAGCCATTTTCTCCACCACTTGTCTTCTTCTTGCTTGATATGGAGATAATAGAGAGGAGAGACTAAAACATTATTTGGCTAAAGATGACATCTTGGGAATGATCTTCTTTCATACCACATCACATCTATTTATAAAGTCTGATCAAGGTCGTTTCTGTGGTGCTACCAAAGTTGAAATGACAAAAATATCCCTCAAACGTCAAGTTATTACGTGTTATAAAAAAATTGAAGTCAGGTGCATGGAATGACATGTCGAATTTATCTATCTATGGTCTTTGGGATGAGGTTAATCCAGTCATATGGTAACATAGTTAATAAAGTTATAATATTATTATTTTTTGTCCATACGATATTGGGATTGCAAATGAGTATTGTTGTCATTATTTTTGCAATTATTTCTAAAATTTGACTTAAATTCTATTGTTAGATGACATGTCTTAGGTTTAAAATTGGTGACTAATGATGGGCTCAAATTATTAAACAACTCAACAGTAGTTTTGTAAAACTAGTCGAGGTATATAGGTAAGTTAGTATGTATGCTCGTAATTATTTTTTTAAAAAGAAGAAAATAATTGATTTGTCCAGCGAATTTCAATAATTTACAAATGTAATTAAATAAATTTCTAGCTACTACTTGTGCGTATTTGGTAACTTGAATTCATTTAACGTAAGTTACACGTAATTAAAATCATTTAACGTAAGTTACACGTAATTATACTAATGTATCTCGCTAATTTAAGTAGGTTATTAAAATTACAATATAAACCACCAAAGAAACAAGAAAGAAAATGGTTGTAAAGTAGCATTTTAAAAAAAAAAAAAAAAAGGGCTTTCTTTCTTATAAATACAGAGAGAGATTTTTCTTCTTCCAGCCATAAAACACCATGGTATGTAAATTATTATATGGCGATGCAAAAATTGGGATTTTATGATCCAAAAATTTCAAAGACTAAATATTTGAAGGAAAAAATAAAATGTATAATCCAAAGTTTAATTTAATTAAAACCCTAAACTATTAATTTCATTAATTAAAGAAATAATTCACAACCAAATATCTATTTTTTTTAGTACTAGGGTCAACAAAATTCGGACTTATAACCTCTTGATCAAAGACATGTGCCAATTACCATAATGTTGTGGTGCAAGATTTGTGATCTGAAATCAATATGAGGCTCAAATTTCCTCTACCCATTCTTACAAATTCGACAGAATCGTTGATCACGAACAGAGAGAGCGCAGTAGGCTTTTTAGCATGCAAGAACTGAGAGTTTCGTTCCGTTGTGATTTGTGCTCCAATTTATCCTTCAGATTCTTCCCTTTCTAATTTAAAATGTGTTCCTTCTTTTACCGTTTGATTGATTGATTATAATAATGAATCTTTCAAGAATTATTCTCTCTAAAAAATTATACCTTCTCCAGTTTGATGTGGAAAAAACTCATGCTTCATTTCAGTTTTTCATTTTTTCTCCAAAGTAGGTGGGGTGAGAATTTAAATCCACTATCTTTTCTCGAATATATATGTCATAACTAGTTGAACTACGATTAGGATAACATAATCTAATTATTTTTAATACAACAGATATAGAAAATGAGAATTTAAACTTCTAATCTCGTAGACATGGAAAGAAAATAGATGTAATTTAACTAGCGATGTTTATGTTGGGAAGAGTATCACTTCAGTTAATTATTTTCACTTATTGACTTTATCAAAAAGAAAAAAAAAAGTATTTTTACTTCTAAAAAAATATAACACATTTTCAGTCGAAGTTTTTATGGTAATATTTTTATAGTTCTTCAAAAAATAAAAGATAAAAAAGAAACAACTTTATGTGTTTGATTAGTTAAGACAAGTAAATTTCGACCTTATAATTCTTTTATTCAATACTTTTTAATAGTAGCTCAATAATCCTATTTTTCATTTATCGTTCATCGTCTTTAAAACATCGGTCATTGTTAATCGGTACATGAAATGTACAACTAAACATGTCATAAGATTTTCCAAGTGATTATTTGTTAATAGTAAATCGTGGCGTAATTTAGGGTGTTACCAAATTTGGTTTTCCAATATCCCTTTACATATTCTCTCAATAACTTCCCTTCACATACTTTACCGCTAACTCTACATTATATACACTTCTTCAATCTTTTTCTACACTCGGTAATTTCTCTATATACCTATTTTATTTCGCTCATATCAATATCCACATTTTATAATATAAGCATACTAGCACTAAACTCACATTAAGGTTGTCCTAAAGTAGGGATGGCGAGAGAACCTCACAATGTCCCCAACAACAACAATTACTTTTCTCTAGTCCCTCTAAACAACTAAAAATGGCTCCTAAACATGGCCCTTAAGTGGATGCAATTTCCTTTTCCAAGTAATCTCATACCGCTGAAGAAACAAAAACTTTTTTATATCGATGAAAAAACAATAACTTGTCATTTCCAGAATATGCATTTCTAGCAATCATCTAGGAACCTAAAGATCATTCCATGATATAAAGGAAGAAAAACTGAAGCCAAAAAATTGAGAAACCAAAAAGAGGGGAAATTAGAAACAGTATCCATAAAGAATTGTCTACGTCTAATTCCAATAAACTATTCAATCAAAATATACAGAAGAAAATGCCTTTGATATACCTGCTTCGAGGTCATCAATGGCTTTTCTGTAATGACCAAGCAAGGACATCGTGTCTAGAAGCCGCACCTGAGGTAAGATAACTACAAGATGAAAACATATCAAGAAACTATACAGAGTTCTCGCCCAGAATACTTGATCCAGTATAATATCATTTGTGAACTAACATGTAAGCTTCAATGGCATCAGCTCCTACCCTTCATCAGTGGGAGGCAGAGGGTTGCAACATTAAACAATACAACACCTCAGCAATTACATCCAACATCCTAAGAAATGAGAACTCACCTTTCTTGTTTAGTAGTTCCCCATTCATTTACCTAAAACGTCGTATCAATCTCTCTTCAAAGCCTTTATAATGGAGCCTCGCACAGCTACTATTGCAAAATAAGCCAAGATTGTGGTAGTAATGCCGCCTAGTAAGACAAAACGATCGTATGCAGTAGTTTGGATGGTGTACATTCGGAGTCCTATGGTATTCCAATTGCTCTCGGTCCAAACAGGATCGACAGCCCCCATTGGATCCGATGAATTCGAAGGAAGCACATACCAAGATCCAGATTCATACTTCAATCGAGTGGAGTATGCTGGAACATACCTATAGCAAATAACTACAGATATTATAACAGAGAAGGACAACCATTATACAGGGGATCCTGCAATGAAGCTATTATGCAAGTTGAATAACACGGTATTTAAAAGCATAGTATGTTGCTGCTCAGATTGACTGTGGGAGCAACCAGCCACATGCATGTAGCTGATAGACCCCGAGTTACTAAGGTGTATAGGCGTAAACGTGTGAAGGGTGGGGAACCCATGTGAGAGGAAAGTTTACATAATGTGAGTGGTGCCCATACTATTTCGTTAGTTAGAGGGCCAAGTCTTTGGAAGTTATATAGAAGCATCAAAAAAAAAAACAAAAAAGGGAAGTTAGTTGAGGAGAGCCCTATCCTTTTGGGTAATTTCTTAGGCATTCTTTGTTGAGAAAAGGGAGAGGGGGAGAGCTCTCAAATCTCCCCTTGGCTTGTGGCGTTGTTGATGAAATAAATTGGTTTAATTCTACCAGATTCTACCAGTAGCAAGCCAGCCAAAAAAAACTGAGCTCTTACACGATGAAATAATATGTTAAAAGTGAGATATTATAACAATGTAAAGAGTGGACCATCCCAAGGGTTATTTTAGCCCACAAAGCAACAATGGGAAGTCACAAACGTTGGGCTTCTTATTTTTTTCCTTTTTTAAGTTTTTTGTAATCCCTTCTTTTGGCTTGCCCTTTCTCTTTGTAAGTCTCTCTTCGATCTTTGTTCTTTATTGTTTCATTAAGTTAGTTTTATATTTAAAAAAATAGAAAAAAGGGAAAAAAATATGGGAAACCATCAAAGACCTCCAACTTTTTACATACATATTCTATTCTAATTAAAGTGGGGAAACTACATACCCCGTTTCTTATCCAAGAAAGAAAGAGTGGAGGGCATCTTGTCAAATAGTCTACAAAATAAATGTTATTCCAAGCTTCCCACTCATCAATTTTGGCCAAAAATCGAGTCAAACCAACCAATTTATACCCTTACATTACAGGTTTCCATGCACTCTCTCTAAGGGCATTCCTTCCTCAAGTCACCTTGAAGTTCTTTAATTTACCTTAAATGAAGGTCTTAGTCATTTTAAATGTGTCCACCAATATGCCATTCAGAATCAGTTGTGTTTAGGCGTAAATGTAACGGTACCTGGTAGTTGATATAACACAAGTTCCCTTTCCAATCTCTGCTCCAATGCACACCTCACTTTTGTCGTTGCAATTCGGTGAACAGGCTGAGCTAGTATTCTCTTTAGAAATAGATGTTCTGTCAGCCAAAAAGTTCCAAACAAATCTCGAAACGTCGTGAACGTAACCAGGATAAGGAGTAGAGGAAGGTTCATCAAGGATTACACCAACATAATGGTTTGGACAGACACTGGTGGGGGAAATATATCTCTTCACCAGCTCGCAAGAGAGACCAGGGTCACAATTCAAGAGGCATCCTATAAGCTCCTCAACCAACGAGGTGTTCACTTTGATAGAAGTTATTGCAGAACTAATCAATTCTTTTTTGTTGGTTGCAAGAATGTAAAGAGTTCGAGCAACAAGTAAAGCAGCTGCTTCAATAGCTGATGAGTTTATATTATCTGGAATAAGAAAAAACAGGACCAGCTATATAAAAATTGTTAATGAAGGACAAATTGGAAATGAAGAAAGGAAAAGAACGTGACTATCTTACATAAATCATCGAGGTGACTCTGGTAGAATTGATTCGTAAACCCAGTATCAAAGTCTTCTAAAACCACCCCAGAGACATGCGAGTTCTGCAGGGACCAAAACAAACTTGTCAACTTATCTGGTCTCAACCATTAAATAAAGTGCCTTGAATTCTTACAAACTATAGGATGTTCTTCTCTTCAATTATCTGCCCTGACAGGTTTCTTAGTAGCACAAAATTTGATTTTTCATGCTTTTTTTTTTTAACAAGAAACGAACTTTCCTTTGATATATGAAAAGGAAGAAAATGTTCAAAGAAACAATCCCAAAGGGAGCATAGAAAGAAAGGAAAAAATATCCAAATAAAGAACAAAAATCCAAAAGATACAATAGAATAAAAAATTGATGAACAAAGCAACTATAAGCTCATGAAAACATGCGCCAAAAGATTTTTCATACTTCATTTTATCGGTGTTAATTTTTTTGATAAAACCCAAGCAGCATAGGTTTATCGGAAAAAAATTCCCAAATCATATAGACCTGCTCCTGGCACCATATATACACACACACAATAAGTAAATGTCAAATGCCACAAACGAACAGATTTTGATGATCTTAATTACGAAAATATAGATTTCATTCTTGCACCGTAGGTTTTTGGTAGAAACCCATTTTGAAAATAATGTTTCAAAAAATTTGGAATTCTTATCAATAAAGCAACTGCAATCTTTTTTATTTATTCAGTTATATCAGTTGTTTCAAAAGATATTTCTCTAAACTGTTACTAAGAGTAATTACGTACTAAAATATAATTCAATTAAAGTGACTCACGCTAGAGTATTTCTAACATGAATAAAACAATGGACTATAATAACTAAAATATTCTTTTACTTCTATATTCAATTTGAAAGGGAGAACGGATCAGAGAGTTTTATCTGTTTGGTGGCCCTTGATTTGATTCCTCCTTGGCATAGGAACACTTTTTGTCCCTGTAGCCCTTACGCTGTTCTTTTTTGGCTGGCTGTAAGTCTTTGGTTTCTTTCTCTTCTCAGAGGGTTTGAACAAAAGAGAGAGAGAGAGAAATAGTAGCATCAAGCATAGAACCTTTTTCAGAAATGCCATCAACGAAGATGGTGGTATCCCTGGATTTGTAGTACTTGCTGGTGAGATTTTTGTGATCTCAAATGGAAGTGATTCTTGAGCATGCTTCAAGGCATTCCATGTCTCATTCTTAGAAGATGAAACCTACAATAGCAATATCCCGCTAAAATAATAGATTCGATAAATTCTCTAGAAATCTCTATGTTCCACAATCCCCGAGGAGTTGCTTATACACACAGTTTAAGAGTTTTAATGAAGGTTTCTTATAAGAAAAAAAAAAGTTTGTTTTAATGTTGCAGCAATATTTCAGATTTGTATAGAGAAACTTAAAAATAATAATAATAAAATAGTTTAGAGGAAAAAAGCCATTACCTCTGTCATGTGAGCGAAGAAGTTCCCAATCCCATGACTGGAGCTCTTTCCAACAGAGCCAATTTCAAAAACCTAAATTGAACAAGTGAAAGTACAATAAGTTCAACTTTTTTAATCTACAACTTACATTAAATGGATCTAAACTATAAAAAGGAAAAGAAAAGAAAAGACTAAAAAGAAACCACACGAACACCAGAGAACAAAAAATAAAAAATAAGGCAGCTTTAGCTCAAACAAAATCACTTTTCTTACATCATCCCAAATCGGCATCGTGTGACTCAAAGTAAATGCAATGCTACACCACTTCCGATGTGACTGTATGAAATCCTTATTTTTATCAACTAGGAAACTGTGTAGCATCACTTTTTACCCAGATGATGAGGAAAAGTTATTTGCAACATACTTCCCGCACCCACATGCAATTTCCACTTCATATAAAACATCTCGGCAATGGAGCCAACATCAATAGGTATAGTTTCAGAAGTCTAAGAATGTCTTGAAAACTTTGCACTTCTTTTCTTTGTTCAAGATAAGTATACTTATCTTCAAGTTTCAAGTTTCCTATTTTCATAAAGGTTTTGACTAAAAATATATCCATCTTCTCGATTGGAAGAACAAATGATGCAAACAAACTTTTAAAATAAAGAGGAAATTTTCTGTAAGACCTCCAGTTGTAAATGTTTATATTAGGAAGCGCAAAGGAGAGAATTACACAAGTTAGTTATGTGGAAAGTCGGTTGAGAAGGGGGGCATGGGATAAAGTAGGAGGAATGTGGTAGGAAGTGGTAGGTTGTGTTTTGTTTAGAACGGTTATGTTCTGTGGAGAGGTTACCAGCCCTCTCGAATTGGCTGGGAAGAACTACTTTTGTAATTTCCGTTCTTGTTTGCTTTTGAATTCCAAGAACTTGTAAGGAGATACCTTACATTTTCAACCTCAAAGATAAAACATCATCCACCGAAAACTTACAAGGATAATGTAAGGTATCTCCTTCCAATATATTGATATTCAGAAAAGAATACGCCCTAAGGCAATCCCAAAGTCTCCTCCAGCCAATTAGAGAGGGCTGATTCACTCCCTACCCAAGCTTTTCCAAATCAAAGTCGACGCCCCCTTACACATCAGTGCTCAAAACATATAAAAACCGACTAATTAACTTGAAGAGGGTGAATTTTCCTCTTTGCCCTTCCTACCATAAGTATTAACTATTGGAGGCCTCCCAGAACTTTAACAATGCTGAACAACCTACGCACCATAATGGGAAAAAATCATCCTTCAACTGTTTAAAATTAGCAACCCAAGGATTCAGTTTTTTCTAATGATTCCTTTGATTATACATTTTTCTCCCATTCTTATAAATAAATTAATTAATTAATTAAGATTACTTTCAAATGATTCTCTCCATCCATTATGCATTTCTCCAATAATAATGCACTAGGAAGTCAGTCAAACAAGAAAAGTAGAAAACATACTAATTTCTCATAGAAGAATAACTATAAATCTACAATCTACACTGTTGACGTATAATCAGTACAAGAAAACTAAAATTCAAAGCACTAATCTACAAGTTCAGAAGTATACCGTATCAATCAATTTATTGTTAAGGCCACTGACAACATCAGACTGCAAATCAAGTTCAAGCAAAAATCTCCTACTACCAAGGTAGCCCCAGGACTCTCCAGTGAAAACAGCAAAAACGAGCTGTATGATCACGAATAAGTATCAGCAATCAAAGAACAGGGAAAAGCACTATAGAAGATGAAGCAGTGAAAGTGTAGATAAAAAGTGGGCAAAGCAAGCAAAGGATACAAGCAAAACTTAAAGCACCATGATCTACAAATAAATCTGAATCAAACCAAATAGGAAATGAAACAACTTATAGACCATCTGCATGTTAATATTTCATATTTATTCGGGCATGGGAAATTCTATCCCACACGTCATCAAACCCCGGTTACATCTCCTAAAGGCCAAAACATATATCAGAAAAAGGATACATAAGCATACGATTTTGTTCTTCTTAAGGGCAGAGCCACTAAAACAAAGCTGACCAGAGCAATAATAACTTGTCCCAGTGCCTCCAGTTCTCTGTAATTTAAAGACCAAAAATATTTTGGTTGGTTTCATAGATTGGTTAAAGTTGGCTTAGTAGGTTTCACCAATTTACTCAGAAATCTGTTCACTTTCAAGAGGGACGTCAGTCTTCTAATTCTCTTCAACATCAACTTTGAACAAAGATTAATCCAGTTACACACCTATAAGAACCGTGAGTAAAGTCATAGCCTCCGCTAAAGACCAACAAAAGACTGAAGGTCTTCCGCACCTCTAAATCAAATATTCCTTTTGAGTGTCAATTGAATGGTTTTCTTAAGCGTTGCAATTGTAGCAATCTGTCAAGATAGACTCTCTCAAATGAATTTTTTTCTTACTTATGAATGGGTTGCCATTGTAGCGTATAAATGAGTTTTGTTTTTAACTTCTCATTATTTTATAGGGATGTGTACACGTGTCTGATATTAAAGAAATAATAATTAAAAAAAGTACACACTCTTTTCTTTTATTTTATTTTATTTTTTAAGCTCTCGGAGTGTGTTACTACATTGAAGTCTTCTTTGATTCCCTCAATTTGGAAGTTTAGAATTCCATAGAAAGTCAAGGTTTTCCTTTAGTCTTTAGCTTTTGCAGAAGTTTAAATACTCATGATGTGCTCCAAAAGAAGTGTAGGAGGTGGTTCTCTTTCTCCCTCAATGTGTAGCTTATGTCTTAGGAGCTAGGTAGCACGGACACGCTTAAAATGGCGAAGTGTCGGTGTCGGACACCGACACGCTCCGACGCGTGTCCAAAATTAATTTTTAATTTTTTTATTTTTAAAAAATGGGACACGTTGGGGACACGTCTGGGACACGCGAGGGTCTTTTTTTTTTTCCTTTTATCTAGTTTTCTTATTTCTTCTTCATCAATCGACGACCAAGCTATAGGTCTTCTTTCTTCTCTAGAAACCAAATAAAAATGAACCCAAGAGTCACGTACTACCCCAAACTTATAAAGATAGGTGAACAAAGAAGGAAGAAGAGGCGACAATGTTTAGAAAGGAGAAGGAGGGGAGGAGAGGAGAGGAGGCAAGAAAAGGAAGAAGAAGAAAAAGTAGGAGGTAGCAAGCTGTGACGAAACAATAAAAACTATGGTTAGACTATAAAGTGGGAAGAGGGGAATCCAAGATGAAAATTAGGTCTTCTTGATTATGAGAGAAAAATGATGTCTAGAGTTAGGTTTTCTTTTATATATATATATATATATATATATATATATATATATAATTTTTATTTAAATATTAATTAAAAATCATATAAAAAATTAACGTGTGCCCAGCGTGTCGTGTCCAACTTTTTTGAAAATTGACGTGCGTCGTGTCCATGTCGTGTCGTATCCGTGTCGCGTGTTCGTGTCCGTGCTTCTTAGCTTAGGAGCAAGGAGTCCTTGGATCACCACTTTATTCATTGGCCTTTTTCTGCAGGATGGTGGAATTGTTTTTCGCTTGGCAGTTTGTCTCCCAAACCATATTGATGGGTGGTTGTCTCAAGTTCTGGGGGGTTGGGCTTTACCTAGAAAATTCAACGTTTTGTGGAATTATGCTGCTAGAGCTCTTCTTTGGAATATCTAGTTGGATCGAAATTGTCGCATCTTTGAAGATAAGGCCTGCACTTATGCTGCGTTCTGGGAGGTATTTTGTTGGCTCTCTTAGAGGTCTCTGCATGTATTGAAGTCTGTAGCTAAGAATGGATTGGACTCCTCTCTGCAAATAAGTTTTCCTGTTAGGTTTTCCTGTTAAGTTTTGTTGTTTCTTTATTCCCCTTTATCTTTCATTTCATAGTTAGCTAGTTGCTACATGTATTTAGTTTCTTTTGGATTTTTTGGTCGGATGTAATGGGTATGGAAGGACCGCAAAAGTTATACGATGGAATTGATATTTTGATCAAAAAAATATAATATTTTTTTAAGAAAATGTACAACACACCTCCTCGTGGTCGTGTTTCAATTACAACAAATTTTTTTATAACTACAGTCTTTCCACGTTTATAAACAATTGGAAAGCTTTTCTATAGCTTTTTTGGAAGGGGGTTTCCTCCACCCCTGCCCCTTTTTGTTGATATATACAAGTTTATTATCAACCAAAAAACAAAAAAGCAAAAAAGAAATATATTGAAATATAAAAGATAGAACAATCCCAATGACTCCCAAGTAATTCAAGGTACTTGGACCTTGTCCTATATTGAGTATTCTTACTCAAGCCTAAACTACACTAAACAATTGTCTACTTCAATCATTTCCCACTCACTTTGTTTATAACAAATCCCCCAAAGAATTCCCCTACCTAATTACCAACCTACCCTTACTATTCTATTAGTATCCCTAATTACCCAAAAGCTTTCCTATCAAATGGATCGTGCAAGATTGGAAAGATACGATTGTATAGTTGCTTTGGGGAGGGTTTTCCCTGCCCTCCGCCTTTAGGTTATCTCTTGTTCTCTTGGGCTCTGCTTATATATTACATATGTGTTTCTTAAAAAAAATAATAATAAAAAAATAAAAAAATAAATGGATGGTTCAAGAATGAAGCCAATTCCTTGATTTCAGCATCCTTCAAATTTCTTCTAAACCTTAAGTTCCAAAAAACATCCTCAACAGACCAAAAGTCCGCCGTAGCAGCAAATTTGTTACCAGATAAGGCAAAAAAGAGAGGAAATCTTCTTGCAATGGGTTCATTTATCAGCCAAGTGTCATTCAAAAAGGATGTGTGAGCCCCATCTTAACTTTGAAGGATACTCTATCGAAGATCAGCTTCTGTAGCTTGATAGTGTCTTTCCACGGGCCATGGGCAGTAGCTAGAGAGGGCATTCTTGTGTGGACGTTCCATGAGGAAAGCCCACATTTTGCATCAATCACCTTATTTTTTTCACTTTGGTATCTCCAAATCCATTTTGCAAGAGGGCCCTATATTTGCTTTTAATGCCCATTCTTCAATGGCGGGAGCAATTTTAACCCGATTCACCGAATTCTGTCCAGATTTGTCACTATTTCTTTTTCAATGGAGATTTCGCATAATGTTCCCTAGAGACAGAGCTACCTTAGATGAAATGGATAAGCTGTCTCCTTATATGGAATGGAGAAGAGTGACATGTAGTAAAGGGAGAGATTTTATAATGTGGCTTGAATAAGAGTTAGCCTTCCACCTATAGAAATAAAAGTACACTCTTTTCAATGTGTTGAAAACATGTCCAGCATGTGTCCGGACATATCCACAACAGTGTCCAGTGTTTTCCTAGAAAATACCTTTACATAAAATCAATAGGAATTATAAATTTTTGGATAAAGTTTGCACACCCATTCCCACGGTAAACATTATAAAGTAACTAAACTGCAAAAACAATGAATAGGTTTACAAGGACTCCCGAACGTGTCTTTAGTCACTATAGGTGTATCCCATCCGTCACAATAATGCCCAAAATAATCTTGTGCATCTCAAGGAAAGTGCCAAGCCACTTAGCCAGAAGAGAACTTCTTACATGCCAAATTTCTTATTCCCAACCCTCCACCATTGCACAACTTGGAAATCACCTCCCAAGTTGTGCAACATAGCATACAAGGTTGCACAAATCTTCTGAGGAAACATTCAAAGATGTGACCAATGTTTTCCCAGCCTTCTTAGATGAAACAGTTGAGATATATGCAAGGTGCCTTTTCTGAATCTCATCAAAAGCATCCTATAGAACCAATGTCTAAACAAGGAAAAATGGTATTTTCTTTCAAACTAATTTAGAGGGGTCATAAATAAGGCTCTTAACCTCTATTATGGCGGAAGCATTTAGGTTATATAAGCAGGGACATAGAAGCATTTAGGTTATATAAGATAAGAGTCATAAGATAATCCGAGCAACTGGATCTTACAAAGCATGAAAAAGAAAACAAGAAATAATTCAAAGTCAGATATCGCAATTATAACTAAAATACAAGTATGTAGACAAAACAAATTATAGAATGCATTTAAGTTAACATGAACTTAAGTATAAAGAAAGTACAATTGGATACAAAGTAGAAAGCATGCATAAGAACCTGCTTATGAAGATCATCCAGTCCATCCACATGGGAAAGTGCATCAACTGCAGCCAGCAATGCAATCAGACCCTAGAACATACCAAAAATAATCTAAGAGGTAGCAGAATAAACATGGTAAGTTTTATAACTGATATACTTGCTCAAAATAAATCATACAGAAATGGGGGAGTCTGCACCAATGCTTTTATCACGGAAGAAAGAAGCAGAATCCATTGATGCTACCGTTAGAATGATGGGCTTCGACTGATCTGAGGAAATATTGATTGGAGGAAGCGACGACCAGACACTGAAAAGATACCAATCTCTTTTAATAAAATAAACACGATGAAATTCTAAAACTATGAGCAGAAAAAGATATCAAGATTTAACCTGTATCCACCTAATGGAAGGCATGTTTCTTCTTTCAAACAAGACACTGAATTATGAGTCCCAGCCTTAGTCGTCTAGACAAAAATGAAAATCAGTCACCTAAACCATTCAAAGTGTGATTAAAATAACCATTTAAGATGTGAAATCACATCAATGTAACACCCGAAGCAAGTACCTGCATCACCAGATCAAATTCAGCAACATTCGATGTGTAAGCTTTCTTATTCTTCACATTTTTTGAAGAAGCCTGCATTAAGTGGTAACATTGTGAAACAATAAATTATGCTAGTCAAAAGTATTTGCATGATTGCCTTTTTAAAGCATGAAGTATAGGTTCAGTAGCTTGTATAAAACACCTAAAAGACTTCAAGGATCATGTTTATGGTCAACTACATAATTAACATCAAGCATTCATGTCAAAAATATGCTGTCCTTGTTTATAAATACCAACGTAGCTCTTGTATCTGTATAAAATATTGCGTTTCTGTTTTACTGAAGTAGGTTCTGCTTAATTATTTGTAAGAACTGTATAAGTACATCATGATCTTATTTAATGACGACAAAAGAACCATACATGATACATCTTTAAAGAATGCCTAAAGGCTACTATCAGAAAAATTAAAATTAAAATTCAATTTCCAGTGACAAACATATTACAACTGAGCCTAACAGACAGATAGTAATTGAAATATCTTCGTTCTATGAAGTTTCAAGTGGTTAAGAATCGGAATTACTTCATGTATAGACGAAATGCTGGTCTCAGATATCAAGAAAACAGGAAAGTTATATTGTTTCCACATAATTCCAGATCCCTGCAAGAGCAAATCGTTAGATTCCATTAGATTGCCAAGCCAAAGAACAAATGAAAGCCTGTGATATAAGACAAGAAAATTTCATGTGCATGCGCAAGTCAATCCAATAAATATATATATATATATATATATATATATATATATATATATTTCTTTTGGAGAAATCAAGCTTTCATTGAAAAGAAATGAAAGAAAAAAAAACAACAAAGGCAAAGGACATTTTAAATTTTGAAAATTAAAAAAAAAAAAAAGAGAAAAAAGGAGATAACTAGCTATACAAATAGGGGCTCCCAGCTCCAATCCATAATAATAACTATTAAGGCTTAACAGTAATTACAAAAATTCTTAGAGACCGACGCCCAAATAGAAGCAATAAATTTACCTAACGACCAAACTTCTCCCTAAAAATTCTATTGTTTCTCTAAAGCCAAAAATCCCAAACGACTGTGAAAAGGCCAGCTTGCCACAAAATTGAACCCTTATCCCAAAATGGCAGGTGCACGAGGATCTCCTCCTCCGTAGAATTGCAATCCCTGCTCCTAGCCCAACAAATACTAAACGGCTTAAAAAATAAACTACCCTAGATTAAACGAGCAAATTGACAGCTTCAAAGGGATATGATATAGGTCCTCATATGCATTCTATTCTTATAGAGAATGCACCACTACAGCCCCACCACAAAGGACGAATGCCCCCAAACACGATCTTATTTTGTTTACTAGGAGAACTATAGCACTATCCAAACAAATGCCCCTTTGAGCTTAATTTTCTCCAAAGGCATACCATTAAAGAAAATAGAGTAAGAAACATTTGATATGCAACTGGAGATCCGGTTTCTCCATCTTTTGTCGAAGCCTATAATTTATAGAGTTCTATTAAAGGAAACCCAATCAATTTTATAGAAGGATCTTTTAACATTTATGATTTAATTTGACGAGCAACCCTTTCCTCAATTTTACTTTTACATCTCCAACAGTAAACAACCTTGTGATTTGAAATTGGCAACCAGCCTTCTGCCCACTCTTTCAAATAGTGTCCGGGAGAGCAGGTTTAAGCCTAACGTCTAATACCTTCAACAATATTCTGTATAGGTTTGAGCTAGGAAGCATAGACACAAACACGACAGGACACGGACACGATGACACATTAATTTCTAAAAATCAAGGATAGAAACATGGAAGAGACATGTTTATTATAATATACAGTTTTGAATATATATTATTTTCATAAATTTCAATGATTTTCGTGCTAAAATTTCGTAGTTTAGGATGCTTATGCATTTATTAACATTTTTGTTCTTGTTCATCTATCAATGAAAAGAATGAAAAATTTGTTTCTTATTAAAAAATATATATATAATATGTTATGTCAAAATCTTCAAGATAAATCTAAACTGACTTATCAATTTTCTAAATGATTTAACATCTTAACGAAGTCAATAATGCTCATGAATTTATGTCTTTCACCCTCAAGATGTTTGTGAATATTCGACACATGTCCAATGAGTGTTGAACTCTTAGACAATTTGTTAAGCTAACATATAACAGTATAACACATACTATTGTGCATAACTAAAATTTTGTTTTAGTTTAGGATGCTTATGCATTGTGCATGTAATAGTATAACACACCTGACATGTCCAAATTGATGTGCCCTTGCTTCTTAGGGTTAGAAATGTGAGCGGAGGTAAACCAAGCAACCTGTTTTTTCCTAGACCATCTGAGGCCCTTTTTACTTATACCTCGTCAAAAAAAAATTAAAACTCTTCAGGTAGGTGCTTAAATGTAGAATGAATTGAGGCCTAATTTAGATTACAAGGAATTATTATTCGAGAGGTCCTTGGTATATATTTGAGAGAAGATACAGACAATCTCATTTTTAATTTGACTGTCCGAGACAAGGACAGTGCCACCTTTGACCACCAGTTCAGTGATAATAATATTTTTCATTCTCCAAGTCGAGCAAATTTTGTGACGGAAAGAGGAGTTTTCCAAACATCCATAATTTCTTGCACTTTTGGTGGCAAAAGCATCTTCTTTTAAGGTGATACAATGGTGGCTGGATTTCGAAAGTTTTCGAACCTCAGATTTGGTTAGGTTAAGTTAAGCCCCCAAGTTAGTAGCTCCAACAACCACAGATCTGCCTTAAGTGGCATGGACGACCAAACTCTTACCAGCTTCTAATCACAGATTGAAGGCTGAGATTAAGTCATAATAATCAGGTGGCCGATATGATATTAACCAATACTCTAGTATGGTGCTCAGCTTAATAATTGAGAACAAAATAAGAGTTTTGCAGTAAGAAGCTTCTAAAGGTTGACCACTCCTAGAAAAAATCTAAAGATTCTGTAAGAATATCAAACATACAATTGGGTTCCAATCATAGTCAACTTTTTGGTAAGGAGCAAATTCAGCTTGTGGAAACTTTCGAGCAGGAGAAAATCCTGCAAGGGAAAATAAACCACCGTGTCAATAATTGACGTGCATGCCTGAATTACCACATAATTACAAAATAAATAAATAAAAGGAAAGAAGAATAATAATAATAATGGGGAAAAGAACCTGAATAAGTAAATGAATTCTACCTTCTGTTCTATTTTGCATTTCAGTTCCCGGTTCGATTAAAACACCACCGACATTATTTGCAAAATTGGAATCATCCTTTAATCTGAAATAGGTAAATGAATTCTACCTGAGTATACAATTTTCTTCCAGCTCTAGTAAGCAAAGGAGCAAATGGAGGGAGAATATCTCTTCCCAGTAGAGAAAAAGTTCGTAGCAATTTTCAAGGAAAAGTGCAATTTTTTTTTTGAAATCCGTGTGTCCGGGCCAGCTCGCGCGCACCTCGACTAATCACGGGTCAACCGCCTGACCCTACTGCATTTGGTTGACAAGGTAACTCGTAGGATATTAAATCCTAGGTAGGTGGCCACCATGGTTTGAACACATTCCCTCTAAGTCCTTTACTATTTACAAAGGCCCTCGTTGACCACTTGAGCCATTCCATGATGGTTAAAAGTGCAATTGATGATCTCTTTTCTGAATTCCATCACTAGATGACAGATTTTAGTAGAAGGAACCCAAAGCCTTTGATTTTCTCAGTTATTTTTCCACTCCAACAATTTTTTTATTAAGAAGGTATCTTCACGAGTTAGCCATTATTATACTTCTTTTCGTTTTTAATCATTCATTTGGAGTTTGTAACATGTTTTGGAATGAAGTCCAGAAAATAATCCTTGTAATGGAAACAAGAATACGTACGATGCTAGGGAGTATATATAAAAAATTTTAATCTTACCTAGAAAAGAAACTCGAGATTTCATCCATTGAAACTACAATGGCAGATGGTTGCGATAGCTCATCCGCATCTTTGAAGTTAATCATTGGAACTACAACCTTCTCTCGTCCAGGATCTGAGGTACATAATAAAAATATATGGATTATCCCACATTCCACTGTGGATTACGTCGGCGCTAAAAAGGTATTGATTTACTACATCTAGTGCAAAAGAACTTACTTGAACAACCGATTTCTCCAGAGAGATTGAGTAACCGAATGCATGGATAACCATCAACAACTAGGTACATTGAATTTTGAAGATCAGGAACCGACTCCATTGAGTGTGTATCATCTGAATAGATTATTAAAAATTATACCAGGTCAAGATTCATGCTTTGAAGTCAAAATAAAAATGCCCTCAACAGAGAAGTAAAATTATAATAGAAGGACAAACTTTGCCTAAACCCATAATCATCCATCATTTATGTGTGGTATTTTTTTCTAAATGTTAGCCCCAGCTCCGCTTGATAACATAAACCACTGGAGGGGGGGGCGGAAGTAATTATTCAATATTCATGGGCTTCAGTCCAAGCAAGTTTACGCACACATTAACAGATCCCAAAGGACTACTAATAGTGCAATATTAGAGCAAAGATTCCTGGGACTATAATTTTCTTAAGAAAGAAACCACTTTTCATTTAGGTGTAAGCCAGAGCCTAACTACATAATGCAACTTTCAACTTATTTACATACACATGTATGAGATATTTTTTTAAATCATTTATATAGTTGGACTGATAAAATAAAAAAGTGATTACATAGATGACATTATTCAGATTATCCACCAAACAATAGGAACAATAACATCTCAAATTGTTTATCCAGCTATCTGCCTTTCTTAAGGAAGATAGCTTCAGAAGGGTATGTCATATGGACCAGGAAATAATCTTCGTGGGGATGGAATAGGAATAGAATCTTCACTAGTTCAAACGCAAACAAGAACAGGGAAAACATTCGGTGATGACATTTATATATAAACTAACAAAACGGCATCTACTTACCCGAAATAATGTACCCTTTAGCTGCCACTACACTATGCAGATTAAGAAATTGAAGTAAATCAAGTACATACGTTACATTACTCTGACATTATCCAAATCTGATTGGCATTCTTAGTCAAGCAGCAATAGAAAGGCATGGACACAGGATTTTGACTACCCCTACTCGTTTAACATTTCCAAGGGGGAAAAAAGAAGACGCACCTGATAAAGAGAGGCGAAGAGAAGTTAAGAACACAAGGAGATAGAGAATATTGGAAGACATGGATGCTGATTTGCCCTGTTATTTCTCTGCACTCACGGCCCGTCGCTCCGCTTCGCGTTCTCAGGGACCTGAGCTTCCTGGAAGATGAATAGGTCCCTGCAAGCTGCAATGGAGTCGAGTTTGGGAATTCGAAGAAATGGGTTCCTTCTCCGCCGAAGGGGTCAATGGAGAGATTGGGGAATTTTTTTTTTTCCCCCTAATTTCTTCCGTTTGAGACAAATTTTAATTTTAATTTTGGTGCGACTTTTTTTCAATTTAGTCCCTTTCTTTTCCTTTTTTTTAGTACAACAGCAAGGGGTTTTCTTCTCTCTTTTTAAGTACGGTGGGATGTGAATAGATGTTTCCCATATTTTTTTTTATGTTTTTTTAAGTACGGTGGGATGTGAATAGATGTTTCACATTGCCAATTTACTTTTTTACCTCTCAACTCATCTCTTATTTAAAAACAATACATTCTCTTTCCGTCCTCTCTATCATTTCTTTCGCTTTTTCTTTTTCATTTTTTCTCTACATCATCTCCTTTTTTTTATTTTATTTTTTACTCTGGGATGTTGCAAAATACCTCCATTTTTTTGGAAAAGAAACAGATTTCATTAATGTAATGAAATGGTAAAAGAAACAAAAGGAGAAGATCTCAAACCAAGGGAGTTACAAAAAAGCTCTCCAATTGGTTAAAAGAGAAACAAAGTTATAGTGTTTAAAGATAGGAGAACATTTACACCAAGATACAACCATAGACACTATAGCTTCAAAAATGATGCCAACGGACAGCTCCTTTCCTAAG